AGGCTGCAGGTGGGGCAATGAGGAAGGTGGCTCAGGTGGCATGGACCTAGGACATGGTGTGAGAGAGAACTTCAAAAGCAGAGGCAAACAAAGGGATGGAGTGGGGATCAGGGGCCCAGAGAGGGTGTGCGCCTGGCTTAAAATCACACAGCACTCTTGGATCGCACATATGATGGGGACCCAGGGAGGATATATATATACTTTGTGGAGAGTCACACAACACCTGAGGTCTGTCTGTCCTAGCAGGTTTCTATGGGTCCGCCTGGGGGAGCATCACCTCCAGAAAAGGGAGGGCCCAGAGCAGCTGTTCCGGGTCATGGACTTCTTCCCCCACCCTGGGTTCAAGAAGAACCGTATCCCCCAAGACTACAAGGATGACGTCATGCTGATCCGTCTGCCCAGGAAGGCACGCCTGGGGCCTGCCGTGCAGCCCCTCAACGTCAGCGAGACCTGCGTCTCCCCAGGCACCCAGTGCCTCATCTCAGGCTGGGGGGCCGTGTCCAGCCCCATAGGTACAGCCTTGCCCATGACACACTCCCTTACGTCTCACGCTGAGGGTCTAAATCCCTCCTCCTTCTCTGTCTCTGCCTTTTCATGTCTATCCTCTATCTATTGATCTATCTCTCTCTCCATCCATATGTTCCAGCAAATCTAAGATGCTAGCCTATATAATAAAGAGGTAATATGCAAATTGTTTGTCATGCCCTCACAAGATGGCTGCCTATGACCAGGCCGGCAGGGGGTTAGTAGTGAGGGACAACCAAACGACTGAACAGCAGGCTGCATGGGGCGACCAGGTTGGTGGGGGGGCCATGAGGGGTGACCAGGCTGGCAGAGGGGGCAGTTTGGGGCAACCAGGCCAGCAAGGGCGGGTAGTAAGGGGTGACCAGGATGGCAGAGGGAGGCAGTTGGGGGCAATCTGGCTGGCAGCAGAGGGCAGTTAGGGGTGACCAGGCCAGCACGCAGAGGCAGTGAGGGGTGATCAGGCTAGTGGGGGGGTGGGGGTGAGGAGGCCAGTTAGGGACGACCAGGCAGGCAGGCAGGTGAGCGATTAGGAGCCAGTGGTCCAAGATTGTGAGAGGAATGTCTGATGGCCAGTTTAGGCCCGATTCCGGGGATTGGGCCTAAACCAGCAGTCGGACATCCCCCAAGGGGTCCCGGATTAGAGAGGGTGCAGGCTGGGCTAAGGGGACACCCCCCTCCCCATGCACGAATTTCGTGCACTGGGCCTCTAGAAAATTATAAGGTGCATCATTACTTCACTGAGAATAGGGGGGTCCCACTGATCCTTGTGAGACCACATTTACTGGGAGACACCTCCTCATTTCAGGGTGTTTAAATGTGCAAATATATGTATCTGAGAATCCAAATAAGGCCGCCTATTCTCAGAGTCAGAAATCAAAGACCTATTAGCCAAATTTGGCTTCCCACATTAGTGCTGGTTTTCCCAGTGTCTTGAAAAATAATGTCTGACTTTGTTGCTGCCAATATCTACAACCTGGGAGATTTTGCATAAAAGCTGAGTGTCTGGATTCACTTGGAAAGAACTTGGGGCAATGCTGGATCCATGTTTCCCAAAGACCGACCACTGTTGGAGAGAGAGAGTGGAGGTGGCCCCTGAAAATCGAACCACAACAGAGCCTGGCACCCCATTTCCATTTACCCACCAGGCCCCTGGGTGCATCTGAGTTGGCACCCAGGCATTATATATATCGACATATGTGTGTCTATATTCATATCTATCTCTATGTGCTGTAGCCTCCTCTATCTCTACCTTGTATCTCCAAATCTTTCTCTCTGTATGAATGGCCATCTCCCCTATAAATGTCTCCTCCCCTTTAACTCGGGGCCTTCTCACTGGATATCTGTGGGCCTGTTTCTATTTCTGCATGGCCTCCTCTGAGAATTTCTTTCCCCTTAAAAGGTCTCTAGCTCCTGCCATGGTCTCTGTTTTTCTCTGTGTAAAATATATGCGCGTCTCTTCTCGTCTCTTGCCTCTCTGCGTGTTTCTGGTTCTCTCCTCTTTATATACATTCAGGCTATGATCTGTCTCTTTGTCCCTGTGGTGTTTCTTGGAGAAGCAGATGCTGTGGCTCCCATGGATCTCCCTTAAGGAAGGGGTTGTGGCCCTACCCGGTTTGGCTCAGTGGATAGAGCGTCGGCCTGCGGACTCAAGGGGCCCAGGTTCGATTCCGGTCAAGGGCAGGTACCTTGGTTGCGGGCACATCCCCAGTAGGGGGCGTGCAAGAGGCAGCTGATCGATGTTTCTCTCCCATCGATGTTT